CCGCAGATGGCTGCCATCGGTTCTGTACCGGAAACAAATTCCTTGTGTGTAACATACTTGGCCAATAAAGGTGATTATCCTGATGTATGGTTCATTATTTCATAGAATTAGGGTTTTTATTTACTTTTTTCATTTATTTGAAATGTGCCACCTCTCTGAGTCTGTGTCCCAGCCTGGCCAACCCCGGATCAAAAGCTATGCTTGAACATTGAAGATGACAAAAAGAATATATTCAAGTCACTATTCAGTTACATTACATTTCCTTTTTTTTAATGACATATCTCACCTGGCCTAATTCGGCAGTCCAGGGAATGATTCCTGTGTCTTGGCTTGTGCCCATATCCGCAGTCTTCACCAGAATCATCAGTTATTATTGGTGGCACTTGATCAGCCTGATGACCGCAAGAAAAAAAAAAACATTCATAGTGAAAATGATAGAATAACATGTTGTCAGTCATTTATTTCTAATCAGCACTTCTTAGCCACCAGTACTTTAACAATACTAATGCCATTCAAGGAAAAGTCTTTGTACAGTATTTGCAATGTTGCTGAGCATTAACATGTCATCGTTTCTGTGTTTATATCAGTTGCCAACATACATCTCGAAGGTCAAAAGTTATCTCCAGGTTCCCCCAGAAGTTGTCTGCAAAGCTGGGGTAGATATCCAGGACCTCCAGCAGGTCATCCCTCAGGATGCAGTGTAAGTCACAGTAGGTGATGGTAAGCACGTCCGAATTAGACTTCCCCGGCTCATCATATAGGTGGATAGGCTCTCCAAAGATGTCATTTTTTTCTGCAAGAGCATGAATATTTTTTTAGTTGAGTAGATCCCAGTTTTTAGGGCATGGTTTTTGGAGCATTTTCGAGACATCAGATGCTTTACCTAATATGGCCATCACCATATCATCCCTGATGATGTGAATGGAACCACGAGAGATGAAGAAGAGAGAATCCAAGATGTCTCCGTAGTGGATCAGAGTATCTCCTGGAGGAGCGTGGACTGTCTTGAACCTCACAGCCAAGGCGCGCAGACAAGCTTTACTGCCTCCGCGGAAGGCCTTACAGTTTTTTAGCAGAGATCGGTTCAAGTGCAAACAGATGTCTGCTTGTAAAGACTCTGGAAACCCCTTCAGCACCTCAATATGAGAAGACAACTCATCATCAACTATCAGTAATTACAACCATAAGATATCATAGGAATACATTTGTCACTTTTACTTACAGCATTCATGTCAATACCATTTGTGTAGGACCAGGCATGCTGAAAGTAGTCCTCTAGCCTTTGTCGAAGGCCACAGGGGATTTGGTGAAAGCGGATGAACTCTTTAACTCGCAGCATCTGAGTATGGTAGCGAGTTGTACCTGAATACAGCCTCTGGATGATGGCTGACACATTCCCAAATATGCTGGCATACATGAGAGCTAAAACGAGCAGAAGAGGACACAGAGATTATTATACGACTTGGGGGATTGTCATTTTATTTGTAATACTTAATAAAATACAAAAGAAATTATGAAAAGAAAAGTTCATGATCTGTACATTAAGGGACTGTACAAAAATTATTAGAGGAGAAAAAGGGGAGGGTAAGTAGGGGAGCATACATCTTTAATTCTGTTTTAACAATTTGAAACTAACAAACTAAAAGTTTGAATTAACTTTAGTTAATTCAATTGGTTGATGATGATCTTGATTTGTACCAATACTATTATATTATTTTAAGCTGATGGAGTATTGCAGGTTTATTTAAAAGAGAGGAACAGAACAAAATATCATTGGGGGGATTTGCTTTTGTAAAAAGTGAAACATTAAGGCTAGTCTCTCAATCAGAGTAATTTTCATACAGTCCCTAACAGTGTCAGTTAACTCACAGCCAATGACCATGACGCAGATGGAGAAGATCTTCTCAGAGTTGGTATTTGGGGAAACGTTACCGAACCCCACACTTGTCAAACTGCTCAAGGTAAAATACAGAGCAGTGACATACTTGTCTTTGACCGATGGACCGGAGGTGGAGTCACTGTCATTATATGCCTTTCCTAGTTGTTCAGCTAGGTTGTCCAGCCAACCAGTCTCCGTGTAGGGCCTCTCCACAAAACCAATGGCATACCAAATGCAGGCTAGCCAATGGGCGATGAGCACAAAGGTGCACATGAGTAAGAAGAGAACAGCAGCTCCATATTCAGAATACCGGTCAAGTTTTCTTGCCACGCGGACCAATCGCAGCAGCCGAGCTGTTTTCAGCAGACTTGTTAAGGTTGCCATCTTTGGTGTCCATTAACAACAGGGAAGAATATGTTAAGCAGGGAAATGGCCATTCAGTACAATAGGTCTAGAGAACTGAAGTAGAAATCATTTTAGATATTTAGACACTGGAGGGTATTACAATAATACCTAAAGATTACTATCAAAATACTTTTAGAATCAATACAAAAAATGCGAAGTGGGTTTCTTATGAAAAACAGAGCTTTTACCTCATCCGAGCCAGATCTGAAAATGAGAAGGTCAAAAGGGATCGCTGCGAACAGATCGATAGGGAACCAGCCTTTGATATAGTGCTTGGCTATCCGGCTTGGCTGTGTGACCACCTCATCGTTCTGGTCCACGTATGTTGTGCGAAGGTTGATGACTATATCCACAATAAACAGCACATCCACCATGAGGTCCACCACATTCAGAGGGTTGCATGTGTAGCCACAGCTCCTTTGATGTAAATCCCTATGCTCATCCAAGAGGAAGGCAGCTGAGTATGGCGTGAAAACAGCTGTGTAGAGGACCAGCAGCAGAATTATCCAGTCCCAAGACGCCTTGAAGGGGCTGTAGTGAAGCAAGATCCACCATGTTGTTTCTGGCACCTGGAGTTTGTATTCAGGCAGTACATCAGACTCCAAAGAAAGTACCTGAGCATAGAGAGTGCTTCAGTATGCAATGATTCTGACATGAACATGTACCCTCTATGTTCCTTGAATTATCAGGAAATGTGAACTTTTAATATGCAATATTTTGTCGTTTTAATGCATGTTGAAGGAAAAATGTTCTCTCAGAAGGCAAAAGAATAGTTGCATTAGCAATCATAAAACTGCAACATTTCTCACTTTGCCACAAAGCAGATCTAATCTTCTGCATTGTTAGGAAAACAGTAAAACAAGTAAACTCAGAAACAAACAGCAACACTTTCATAACTCTCGCTCTAGTACTAACCAACAGACCTTTCTAGAAGACATACTGTTTTGACCAACTTCTTGGGGGAGGCTGCATGCTCTGGTTTTGCGACCTTGTAGGTCCAACGAATCCTTGATCATCCTGTCATTAGTGACTCTCAGCACTAAGAGATAAGACTTGGGTAAAGATTACATCCACATAGTACAATTATTTCCAGGGAGATAAAAAAAAAAATAATCTCAGGCAAAGCTAAAGCATCAGTGTGCTGTAATCAACTGTGTGAGAGCTGATTAAGTACAGGATGCCGGTGGGCTGGAGGGCTGTAATCATGAGCCGGGCATCACAAACACACAATGAGTTCATGTGATGCCGCTGTCCAATTGTTCTCTTCAGCCCAGTTTCAAATTATTTGCTGTCCCTATGAATCTCAGGCATTTCAGACCTACAGCTCCCTCTATTGGATGCACACATAGACAGATATACAGACAGATCCTTTAGCTAGCCATGCAAGTATCAACAAGATCCCCTGTGCAGCAAGGTCATGGGTCGTTACATACACTTCCCTTGCATTTATGTCACATCCACCACACACAATCCCACAGAGGCAGTGATGCAGAATACTGAGCCCCAGGCTGCAACAGTAACAACAATAGGTCTGAATTGAACTGTGGCTCAATGGAGGAGAACATCCTGCCACCACACTACCTATTGATTTTTCCACTAGTTGGTTAATGGCAGTCTTCCATCATGGCAACTTTCTGGAAGCATTTTTATTTCTTAGAAATAAAACCATGATTACTCTGAGTGAACACAGCAATCCTCAAATGCATCAAAGACTTTCACTTTAAATTTGGTGGTGATAGGCCAAATTAATTTGTTTAGAGCTCTTAAAAGGCACTTCCCTATTCTTACACAGAAATATAAGGTTCCCGGTCCCCATACCTGTGTGACCTTCTCTGTGACATTCTGAGAGCGATCCTTCACCTTGGAGGGGGTAAGCAGCTCCATCCTGGGAGTTGGAGGTGAGCGGTATTCGGGGCCTCTGCTGGCCAGCCCCCTACTTTTCATGAAGTCTGAGTCAGGTATGGAGCTCTGCCGGCCTGATTGGAAAAACTGGTTTTTATTCATATTTGGGCCAAAAACACCAAAGCAATCATTGTTTTTACAGTTTTTCTCATATTGTGTTTGTGTTCGTGGACTTTCCAGAAAAAAACTTGGCTCACTAATACAATTATTATGATTACAGTATTACATAGCACTGTTAATTACCATACTGTGCTTATGTTTTCTGGCAATGTTGGATTTGTACTAAGAATTCATCTTCGTATTTTTTCTTCTAAATTTGCCTGGAAAAAATCTCAAAACAAATGCGCTACTCAGTGATGTTTAATACTCTGACCCCCCCTTGACAAATTCCACTGCTCTGATTTCCCAGAATGCCCATCTACATAGCTGTATCCCACCCTCAAATACTGCATAGTCTCAGTACTTGACTCACAAAGGGTTATGGCACAGAGAAGGCAGCAGTTACATTGCAATAAAATATGCTCTCACCAGTTGACCAGTTCATCAGTTGTAGGTCATAAACACAACGTACTGTACCTGATTTGAAATCCGAATGTCAGCTCCTCCTTTGCTTTGACCATTAGGCAGCCAGGACTCCACAATCCCTCCTTCGGAGCACTTTTCAGACAAGCGTGTTTGAAACATTCACTCTCTTCTTTCACAGTTCATATTTAGAGAAACCAAATAAACTTCTTGTTTTCAAGTGTGTAGATGTAGATGCTGCTGTTTAACTCTCCACTCTGGCACAGGGCAAATGACTGACCTGCAGCTTGCATGTTGCTACGCAACATTCATCAATACTGGAAACTAATCAATGTCTTGCTATAGCCAAGAGCAACTGACAGAAAGATCAATGACGAGCACTGATAAACATAGCAAATGGGCTCAGAGCCATTACAATGGACCTCCCTATTAACATTGTTAACCTTATTTGTTAGTCTAATGTTAAAACAGTGCAGGCTGTCACAGACATGACACTATGGTGCAAGAGAACAAAATCAGCTGGATAAAGGTATTGTGTCTGTTCAATATGTGGTATACGCACTGGTAATGTGGGATCTTATTGACTGCGATGTTGATACTACAGTAATATAAGAGGTCAGTGACCTGTGATGACACTGGCTCAAATTGTCCTGCAGCAACATTTCAGCCATGTGTACTCTTTGTAATTTCTTTTAAAGGCAATGTAATAAATACACATATATGATTTCAAAGAGGAAGGAGGAGTACATTTAATCTTAATACGTTTAGGTCATTAGGTCATCAAGGCTTTTGAAGAAAACCCATACCAGGCACAAGTTATTATTGCAGAGTATCATTAAAGTTAACCTGGTGGACATCTTTAAACTGATCTTTGTTAATACATGAAGACTGCTTCTGTCTTCAAACAGTAAAAGTGAAATTTCTCTTAACAGAACATTTTCATCTCTTACCTATGGGATCTCATTAATTAACCAATTAAAAAAGGACATTTTACCAACATCTCTTGCCTTTGTTACACTTTGTCACAACTTTTAAAGACCTATTTGACAAATGACATTTCTTGAAATGAACAACTTTAGGAAAAATTCTGAAGTGCAGTGGAAGCAGTGTATCCCTAAAGCGGCTTCTATATGCTGTAGAATGGCTGCTCTTAAACATCTGTAGATAAGTGCAGTCTGACAATAGCAAATATTTAATGTAAGACATCACTTTAACATTTTAAAAAGAACCAGTCATTTCTCTTCCATATTTTTCCCATGTATATGATGTCACTGGTAATGTCTGCTCCTTAAGATGACATTATAAGCACTGGCAAGTGGTAGTATCAATAGTACTGATTACCCACTGATGTATGGACAAGGTACCTGTTGGTAAATCCTCTCTCTGTGAAATCAAGTAATCCACACATACAGTAACACTGTCCACCAAGTGTCCAGAGACTGTACTCAGCTGTGAGACTTGATGTTGTCCCACACGTGAACTACATCTGAAAAGTCACTGAGGTCTTCTATTAGCTTTGAAGCAGATTCCAACTGACCTTGGTCCAGAGACAAGAGGGTGCAAGGAACAAACTCCAACCCAACAGATGTAGTCTGCATCCCCAGCTCCTGCAGTGAAGCCTGCACCTTCTTCAAGTCTGTTATCTCACAGATAAACTGAGGAGAGAGAAACAGACGACCAGTAGTTAAACTGTGGTAGGGTTGCAACTTATTACCATTTTTAATAAAATTAAAGCCGTTTTTCATTCATTATTTTGTCTATACAATGTGGAAAATAGTAAAAAAAAATATCCAGAATGATTTTCCAAGATTATGACTTTTCCAAGGTTATAAGTTAGTTTGGTGCAATCAACAGATGTGCAATTTACAGTGATGCAGAGCAAATGAGATAATGTTTGACTTGATCAGGGATTATTATCAAATCTTGCAAATCTGTTTAACAATTTCTTGTCTGTAGATGAACTGATAAATTCCTTTTCAGCACTAAACTATTGGAAGGTTGTATTCACAGCTTTACATGTCTTAGTGTTGCCATCTGACCTTCAGGAGGCACTGCTCCTCTTCATCCTCAGTCTCTTTGACATCCTCTGCTCCCGCCTCAATGGCCAGCTCCAGAGCTCGCTCCATGGAGATGTTGTGACCCAGGACCACCACTACCCCCTTCCTGTTGAAGCTGTGGTGTGCTCCATCTGACATTATCCATCTGTGGGTAAGAGCACAACTAGAGTTTTCATTTAAATTCTTGATTGTATGACAGTTCATATAAACAGTTTAATGACTGAAAAACCTAAGATAAAACTGGGTTTTTAAATGTATTTCATCCTATTCAAATTATCCTATTTTGTATGAATCTTTGTTAAAATGGTTGAAAATGAGAAATTCTGTACAATGGTCTCTGAAGAGAAGCATTCAGCGGTTGATGTGGTGATATCATAGTGAGAGTGGGGAGGCTGTCTAACTTGTCCTCATGACCACAGTTTTCACTCTTTCTATACAAGTTTTTCACTATGATATCCTGACAAAGAGATTCACAGAAGATGCACAGCGAGCTGCAGAGTGACACGAGTGCCAACCAACTGCCACAATGACTCCTGTGTACACAGTATTAGGCAGGTGGTCATAATGTTATGGCTGATCGGTGTAAATCAGTCATAGGTTCTTGTTCTAACATTTAAAATTAAACATAAGGAAGAGTGGTAGATGGGGTCAAGTCTGCGGAATACTAAGTCTGATGCATGCATATATAATATGTCACAGTAGTCGAAAACCGCTAGAAATGTTAACTGAACTAAAGTGTTTCTTGCTGAAAACATGGGTTTAAACGGAAATTAAAAACCTAATTTAGGTTTCAGTTTCTTGAAAAGATTATCTGTATGATCCTACTGTGTGTCATTAAGATCTTTTTTTCAAATAAACAGCACAAACAAGAGTTCTCATGATCACTATGACATATTCAGATGCTTTGAATTTAGTAGGAGAGAGACAAACAATGCAATATGATGCATGCTTTTTAAAATATCTACTCTGTCAGTTGTCCATTTTGTTATTTTCCAACTTTATTGCAATGCTTCTTTCAACAAGGTCCACAAAACGGGTCTTCATTTTATAGGTTGCTAATTTTTCAGAGAAAAATATAGAATAGGACAAGGACAACAGAGAGAAAAAAGGGTAGATAGGAAGAAAGCAGGAATACCTAATTATGGCACATCTTTAAATTGATTATGAGATATCACTTTCCCAAGTTTGCCTTTAGAAGAAATCTAACACCTCTTTTTGCTTGATCTCTAATTTTAAAGGTTCTCCATATATAAAATTTGTTCTACTGTTGTCAACCAAAGCCTTACTGATGGAGGACTCATTATCTAAGTCAGATGTTTGAGATGCCACAAAATATATTCTACGAGAATGTGAAATTTAATACTATGACTTTGCAACTTTAATCTTGCTGCCAACATATAGTAGGTGGCACTGTCTGACATGATCTGGTGATCTTGAATGTGAACCAGATCAGGCAAATGCTAAGTAATAACCATCAGTGCTGAGGTGAGAGCACATAAAGTATCTGTGGTGGAGTATGTCAGCTACACAGTCAGAGCAGAGCAAGGTTAGAGAAAGCCAGTACCGACCCTCTCTTGTTAAGCAGGTGTTTGATTGCCTGGTGGGTGCGTGTAACATTGTCAGTAAGGACCTCGATGAGCAGCAAACATCCACCAGGGCCCCGAGCTTGAAACATGTGCTGGGATGCTGGTTTACCTTTTTCCTGTAGAGCCAGGAAAGAAGAGATCAATGATTTCTTGCAACTAATTATGGAAAATCAGTATCACAATATAATTCTAACAATATGTTACATGCTGGTAACATCATGTACAGACAGGTGACAAATTGTTTTGGAAGACGTGTTCATCCCTCCAGTGGATTTCCACAGAATCCATGCCAAGGAGCAATGAAACAGTTTGAACATCTTATAGTGGCATCTTATAACAACTTACTAAAATGCTTTACCTGTGAAAGTATGTTGTCAACCTACCACACTCTTGACTGCAGTCTCTATGGATGCTTTGGGCATGTTCTTGTTTCTGCACTGCTCCAGTATGTGTGCTAAGTTTATATTCATCTCTGGGTTGGGTCCACCCTCTGCAAGTGACACCAAATTTGAAAATAGCTACAGTGCACAAGAAGACACAGCAAAACTAAACATGACATGAGCACAATCCAAACTTACCCTTCACAGCTATCCTTATCATCATACCGAGCTTCGCAAACAGCCGTGACCTGGCCGCATCTTTAGGCCCCTTAATGTTTTTCACCTTTGACCACTTGTTGTGTCCAGCACATAAGGCGGAGCACAGCTGCACCGCCCTAACAGGAGTGGTCCTCCAAGGTGTGTACAGCACGGACTCCATCGGTGCTGAGCACCTGCCTGATGCCGCGGGCACACTCCAGGAATGCATGGCCCGGAAAGTCCTCAGCACCGCTGCCCCCGCCATGCCCTTCACAAACACACACAGTAAACCAGTTGTTGAATACAGTATTACACTAACCTGCTACTCATATGTAGCACAGACGATGTTAAAAATACCTGGTTTAAATCTCTGTCTGCAGTAGAGGACTTTAATTACAGAAACCAGTCATATTAATATCGACAAATCATTGAAACTGCCTGTTTTCCTACACTTTGATAAGTCCAGATAGCATGGAGCAGCTACTGTCCGTGCTGTGAAACCGGCACTTCCTGGTTGTGTTGACGTCAAACTTTGGTCTTTCAAAATAAATGCTGCTTCTTCTTCAGTGGTTTTTAAACGGCAGCCGGCATTCAAATTGTTAAAAGCTCATTCAAATAACATTTTTTATAATTTAGGATTGCACATGGTAATGAAAACATTATACGTGTAATTCATTGTAATTATTCTTAAACTGTATGTTTTTTCTATAAGATATATTTGTTTAGAGGTCACTCTAAAATTTCGTTGTTACAGTGACAATAAAGGATTGTCTTATCTATCTTTAGAAGAAAGCTATTGGTTTGCGTGTTTATTTTATTTGAAGACATATTTAAAAATGTTTATTTGTTTTATATTTTCCTCAGGTACGACTGCACAGGAACAGAACACACACAATCCCTGCCAACCCTGAACTACAACCTGCCCAGAGGGGCATTATGGGAAATCCCACCAGGTGCTCCCGGGACCCCGCCAAGTGTCTCCGCCCCCAACGCTACAATATTAGTTATAATCACTAAGCCCCTTTTCACTGCATTATCTTCATAGGTGTTCGTATTTTAACCAGTGTAAATAAAACTAATTTTTTTCTTCTTAGTCCTCTTCTTATCATGTTGTTCTTATATTTTTGTCTGGCTTTATATTCCAATAATATTGAAGTAAATCTTTGTCAATTAAAAAACAAGTAGAAAAAAATAGTTTGAGCAATGATTGAAGTATTAAGATGACAAACATTTTACTCACTGGTTTCTGGTCATTTCCAGACAAACTGTGGGTTCATCAAATGAATTCATCCAGAAACACGCCTACCATGCAGAAATCAATTCATTTTTGTATATTTTGTATACACTGTAGACTGTAGTTATTCATATACTGTATAATCTATTTATTCTCATACACATCCTTCCAATAGTTTCACAGAGTTCTGATGCATTTTAAGTTGTACGGAATGAGGAATATGTGTTTAGAAGTGACTACAGAATATCAGCATGCATGTTTAATAGCTGGTCTCAAAAATAACGACAACACTAGCCAGAATATTGAACATTTTTCTCATATGTTTTGTGTTCAGTTATATCTGCTAGTATCAGAAAGGTTATCACTAGAGATTATAGGGTTTATTTATTGGGTGCTGCAGGCAATGTAAATCTGGTCTGTTGTCAGTGTCCTAAAATATCCCAGTGTGGGAACTAGAAGAGAAATGTTGATTTCTTGCCATGAGATCAAAGTTTAATGAATTTGTCTGCCTCTCTTTATGAAAAAAACTGGAACATACTGTACCAAATGGGTTCCTGAATAGCAAGTGTGTGTGTGGCCTTTGGTATTACTCACATTATGGGGACTGAAACCTGTTAACACACTCACACTGTAGGGACTCTGCATCATTCGTGGGGACCAGAGGCTGGTCCCCACCATCTACATTACTGAATTTTAGGGTGGAAACACGATTTAAGGTTAGGGTGAGGTTAGGGCTAGGGTTAGGGTCAGGCAGTAGTGGTTATACACTGCTCAAAAAAATTAAGGGAACACAAGGGAAAATAAGACATTCAACTATGTAATGAACAAGGTATTTAATAAGAATATTTCATTCATTCAGATCTAGGATGTCTTATGTTGTGTTCCCTTTATTTTTTTTTGAGCAGTATATTTAAGTTTAGGTTAAGTCTCTAGGAAATGAATGTAAGTAAAATGTAAAGTCCCCATAAGGAATGAAAAGACACACATGTGTGTGTGGTGGGGAGTATGTATGCATAATTATCAAAAGGATGGTAAAAGCCAAGATCAGTTTGTCTGGTAAGGGAAAACTGGGCTAAAGGAGACATGCAGGACCACAGAGACCACAGAGGACCACAAAGAGTTAAATGAGATGGAAGCCACAGCCAATTAAGGCCAACCCATCTCCAACAGACAACAGGAGGTTTCCTCTACAGGGCTCCCCTCTCTCTTCCCCACAGACCTTCTCACTCCACAGGCAGACTGGTACATGGTCCCTCAGAGCTGATCAGTAATGTCCAGTGAGCTTCACAGAGGAGACTGTAAAACGGAGAAATTTTTAAACCTTCATATTCAGATGTCAAGAGACTCCAAAGCCCAATAAGATCCTAAAAGGCTGTTCTTATTGACTGATGAAACAAAATATAACCATAGGAGGAGCGCTGATGGGACACCAGAGGAAAACCATCTTTAACTTTCTTCAACACAACCTGAGGAGGATAAAATGATCTGAAGAAAGTTGTATATTGTTCTATTGAAGTCGAAAGTAGAAAAGACGTCATGTTGTGTGCAAAGGGACTTGGTGTCTTGGCACTTTTCCACAGTCTAATAGTGACTGCTCTGGTAAGTGTACTCTTCTTATCCTTAAAATTTGTATGATTCAGTTACTGATTCCTTTTTTTTTGACTGGATGGACTAAATAACTAATGTTTTCCTTGTCAGCAAAATTTTGCAGTCTTATTTCATTTCTTCTTTTCTGCTGTTATCTTGTAAACTGAAAATAAACTGAAGTATGACTATTAGCAATAATTAAATAAATTGTAGGTGTCTTTTCAGAACAGATCTTATTTTATTGAAATAATAACAGTTTATTATAGTGGTGCTGAGTAAATTCTCAGTCTTTTAGTCATGTGTAAACTTACAGTATTAAAAGATGGTTTTTATGTTCTAAATTTAAACTTTTCACACAGAAGCATCATATCTTACACTATGATATGACACTGAGTCAGAAATCACACCTCCACACTGCTATACTTTAGGGCAAATATAGAAAATGTCATGTGTCTGTGATCCTTTTTGATCGTTTGAATGTTGGACTTCGATCTACTGCTTTGGGAAACGTGCCGGCTATTCACCAGGAAGACAGACGGACCATAGACGAGTGGTGTGATTTTCTTCTTATTTCCAAATATAAAACACAGTCAAATCAGATGACAGTAATCCCTCGTCATGAACCAGGTGAAGTAACTGCCTGAGAATATATTAAAAAGTCAAAAAACATATTAATTACATTTGTGGATTCTTTGCAACACAATCCCCTGTTAAAAAACAACAACTAAATAAATTATTAATAACTAAATAGTAAATGCATTTGGGATATTTTGCCAGTTAGGCTGCAAAATCTTATGACAAAATATTACTTTGAAAAAGAAGCAACACACTCATTTACATGAGCAGAGAGAAGGTCTATCTGAAAACCTTTATTAATAAAGACAGAAATCAACCACCAGACCTTTAGACCTTTCAAACTATCACACTAGCACAAGAGCAGCAATAACAAAGGAAGAAGAAGAAGAACAGCCCAGACTTCAACTCCCCATGGTCTGCTTTACCTCACAAACCTCTATCAGCTCTAAGCCTTTTAACCTTTCACCCTCCTGCAGCTGATACTGACCACTGTCACTCTCTTCATCATCCCCAGGTCGATCCTGAGGGGCGACATACAGCTTCCTGCTCAGTCAGCCTGAAAATCACTTTAGATGACGCAGGGACCTGAAAGAGCTAATTCAATTTTGACACAAAGACGAGGAGACATCTAAGACTAATTGCTAATACTCTCTGCCTGTCAGCAGAAAATCCAAAGAAAAGTGAATGAGTTCTCTACATTAACTTGTACCTATTGAATAATACTGCATGTCAATGCTTTGTTGAGGTAGAGAACTTTGTATGATGTAAAACCAAAATATCTAATTGTGGCCATCAATAGCTCTCTTTAAATGGAATTGTGGACAAGGACCCGCTAACACACACTGTAAATATCATCAATAATGCCACTGTCTCAGTTGACTTTAGCTGACGTCACTCTCAGAAACAAATCACTGGATGAAGTACACGTCCAGTATTCTGGGTGCTACAATACTGCAAGCACTGAGCACTCACTGGCAGTTTATTTTGGCCTGGGCCAAGAATGTTATCACAGATTATTTCAGTTGGGATTAGTCTGTTTCACAAGAAAGAGAAGCAGTGGTGGAAGAAGTTGTTTGTTTAAGTAAAAGTATCAGTTCCACAATTTAAAAACACCTGAATACCATGTAAAATTTAAAAAATAGCATTTAAAATCTTACTAAAGTAAAAAAAAAAAAAAAAAACACAAGTATTATTACCAAAATTTACTTAAAGTAATAAAGTGAAAACGCTAATTCTATTAAAAATTGGACCTTAATTGTGACTAACATATATATATATTATTCCTGTAGCTACTGTGGGTGTCACGATGTACCAGTATTGGCGATAACAGTGATATTTAAAACACTTAATGTTGGAATCATGCTAATAATACACATATGATAATATCGTAAATAATCGACATGTCATGATTTGGACGGCGCTGCCGAGTTTGGTGCCTTTATTTTCCTGATGTATTTCCGGTTTCTGCCAGTTCACCTGCCCCAGCTTTACCACCGATTAATCAGCGTTCATTGTATACACCTGTACCTCGTTATCTCCGGTCTCCAGCCCATAGGGTCTCCATATACTCCTTCCTTCGCTTCAGTTAATCATTTGTTCGTTATATGTCCTGAGGTTACTTCACGCAATTCCTTGTTCCAGTCACGCATATATTCGGTCCTGTTTTGTTTCTCGATTCCGCGGTGCCAGCCAGCCTATCCGTTTAAGGACGGAGTGAGTAAGTCCCCGGCTCTACCTTTCTCTGTTCGCCTGCTGCAGTAGTACACTACACTGCTCTCCTGCACGCTTACCGCACCCGCTGGTCCTCGGGTTACCTGCCATCTCACCTGCCTGTCCTGGTTCCTCGCCCTCGCCCCCGTCCTCCTGGTTCCAGTTGTCCTTCTGTCTTCGCATCTGTCCCTTGTGGTCTCCTGGCTCTGTGCCCCAGCGCTTAAGGTCCCTCAACCTGGTCTTCTGTTCCTCCTGGTCCTTACCCGCTCCCCTTTCAGTCCGGTGTCGGCTCTCCAACCACCCTGACCTGCTAGCTTGAGTTTGCCATTGCCTTGGCCAATGAACTCCTTTTTGTTATTACTCCTTCTGTCCACGGTATCTCCATATTGGGTCCAAGTCTTCCACACAACAGCGAGTAACCATCTGGTTGTTCCCTGCTCCCTGTATGCTACTTTGTTAAGTTGACATTTCATTTGATGGCAGATGTTTGGCCCTGTGGATCTTGTATCAGTTGATCTGGTTCCCTTTTCACTGTGTTAAATTCTTTTTCTACAGTTGTCACATACTTTCTCCACATCCCTACACAAATTTTGGGTGCAATTCATTCATTCATCAAAAAAAAAAAAAAAAAAGTGCACAAAGTTAAAGATGAGTTACACAAAACATTTTATTTTTGCAAATTCCCTGTAGATTTTTTTTTTTTTTTTGGCCACAATGATGTAGTGAGGCTGGAATATTGTGACACTAACACAACTGACAACCAAACTTCTTTTTTTTAATATTTATGCCACTGTTTTCTCCTGACAAATCATTCTCATGTGAGTTCTAGTCACTTCTACTTTTGCTGCTTTGTTGTGAAATGCCCCCAGGAACACAAAGTTTCTTGTATAGACTACCTCTCACTAGCATAGTGGAGGTCCTGAAAACAAGGCGCCCATAGGGCCGAAGGCAGAGTAATGGGTTGGTGGGAAGTCACCACATACTGCACTCTCACACAACTATTTCACTACACCCGGAGGCAACACAACAAATTTTGTGAAGCATTTGACTATTGCTCAAACCATTTACTACAAAGCATTATGCAGCCACAGTGTCTCTTTTTTTTTTCTTTCAAGTAAATTAATGGAAAGGCACAGCTGCTTGGAAGGTAGGAATACAGTAGAAATCTAAAATTGCATCAAACATTTCAAAAGTGATGGAAAAATGTTACATGTTTTGAGTTTAATGTGTTAAAATGTGCAAAAACTCTATGGGACATTATTAGTGCTCCACTGAGAGGCTGAACTTGTTCATAGATACATGGCTGCCTGTGAATGAGACCGTTTTTTTTTTATAAATCAGTTCCTTTAACTGTTGTGGACTATGCAAATTATAAATTTAATGCAGTCATACATGCTGTTGCAGGCAGTTGGTAACGGCATTTTTATTTTATACCATGTACAGCAAGGGAGTCTGCATGTATTCCATGTACAACACTTCATTATGTCGCTTGCATTTGTGTTTTAACAATTGTTCATCTGCAGCAGATAGACTCTGATGATGTCATCACACGAGATGAGCAAATCTACATTCTGATTGGTGCTCACACCAGATGTGAAAGGAACATCCAGACACAAATGGCTCTGGTTAAAGGTTTGTGTGGTGCTGCTGAGCCTTTTATTCAATAAACGTAAGGCTAGGATTGTGCTAATTTTTGCTTTGTTTAGTCACAGGTTTAATTACAGCTTGTGTGGCTCTAGTGCCCCACCTTGCTAAAAAACTGAACATCTGATTATATTCAAATCAGCTCTTGCAAGGAGGGATATTCATTAACTCTAAAAAATGTAACTGTCAGAGGAAACATTTGGTTCAGGAAAAACAGCACTGGGAATATGATGTGTAAGCGAGATAGGACCAGTTTCAGTATTTTGCTTCTAACTCCATACACAGTACCTACAGTGCTTGGACAACAATTGCACAATAACATCCACATGAGATCCACAGTAAATAATGCTGCAGACTTGCAACTAAGTTCAAATTCTAGCTGAAACGGATTCATTCGGGTGTCAGCAGGTCTGATGTATCTTTGAAAGTTACTGAGCTGCCATTACTGTAATAGTTTTTCTTGAATAACATTCAAACTAACGATATCAATGAGATTCCAAATGCTATGGGTAGAATTTCATGGTCAAGAGATCATATGGGAATATTGCTTTCCGGTGGAGTGGCTTTGTGGAGACAGTGATCTGTCTTGGTGGAGATTTGCCCTCTCTGAATGCTTTCTAGTTTAGGCTCAGCCATCGTAACACCCATCCAATATCCTGCTGACTATTATCTCTGTGATTACAGATTTGGATGTAGGTGCAAACAATAGACAGGAATTTTTATTTAGACTATGACGCAGAAGCTGATGACACCCTTTGCAGATAAGTTGATTGAATGGTTCATATTTAGTGCACAAATATAAAAGTCGTATCCATCTTCTCATCTAGGATTCTGCAAAAGAGTAATTGTGTTTTACCCAAATGTTCCTTTAAAACAAAACAAAAAAATTCTATTGCTTTACTAATTTTATGAAGCTGTGTTGGGGCAAAATACAAAAATGTAATACAAATATACTGTATATCACATTGTATTTGGTATCATCAGATCCTTTATATTGAAGGATAAGGATTAAATAAACTTAACTAGGACATCCTGAACCATGTTTGGGCCTGTTCCCAGAAGACCTGTTCAGTGTCCAGTCCATTTAGAAAAGCTCAAACAACTACCTCCAGTCGATGTAAAATGACTAACATCTTCCCATAACACGTGAAGATGGTGACTGTATCCCAGAGTGGGATGGGATCATCTGCTGGCCACGGAGCAGAGCAAGTCAGCTGGTTGCCGTGCTGTGTCCAAAGTACATCTACGACTTCAATCACAGAGGTACGAGAGCTCAACACTGAAGTGTGTCAGCGCACACATTAAACTGAAGCACTACATACAATATTATCAATATTAAATGATAATATGGGCAATTTGATCATCTACACTCTACGCACTGAATGACATCAGGGCTTTCCATTTCTAATGTATGACAGGCTGCTGTGCCCATGTTGTACTGTTTGTGATGTCGTGATGTTCTGTTACCCAGGGCGAGCCTACCGTCAGTGTGATGCATCAGGGAACTGGGAGCAGGTGCCCAGTATCAACCGCACATGGGCTAACTACACTGAGTGTACCTCATACTTGACCTCCAACTATAAGGGGCAAGAAGAGGTGTGTGCATGTGTATTTGTCTAGATGTGTATATACAGTAGCTGTATATGGTTTTGCCATATACAGTGTTTTCCGAGTTGTCTTTCTGATACGTTTCTCTGGTTGCTGAAGTCTATTGCATCTCTGTGTCTGCACACTCTAAACAGTTTTGTTTTTGTTTCAGGTGTTTGAGAGACTTCATCTCATGTACACTGTGGGCTACTCCATATCTCTAGCATCACTGTTAGTGGCAGTCGCCATCCTCTGCTATTTCAAGTAAGAAAACAAAAATCCTGATCAATAAAAAGAATAAGCATCCAGTGTCAGTTGTCTCCATATTCAAATTAATATAAAAGTTGTCTATAAAACTGAGAAGAGGTGATTAATGCAGTCATAACCTCCCTTAAGGAAGCATGAGAATTCATGCCAAAATGCGACTAGCATCACTATAGTGATTGGCATTCCAACATCTTTCTTTCTCGCTCTCTCTGTCACATACCTTTCAGGCGTCTTCACTGCACACGCAATTACATCCACATTCACCTTTTCACCTCCTTCATATGTCGAGCTGTCAGCATTTTTGTGAAGGACGCTGTGCTGTACTCCATATCTGATGACGAGGCTGAGCCTGAGTTCACTGCACAAAAGCCCCATATGGTAAGCTATATAAAAATGTAGTTTATTTATTACCAGTTATCCATTGTATTATTTTGTGTCTTGTTGTTTAAATATCACTGCCTGACAATCAGCACAGTAATGGTGGTCCACAGTAAGATCACCGCCATGTCTGAACAGTAAAAACTATTCCTTTAAGAGAAAAAGACATATTGTACTTGGAGCAAACTTCTCAGTAGCTATAGCTTGTTTGAATGTTTTTTTTGCCTGCTCTTCTGTGTCCTCAGGCTGGCTGTAAACTTGCTGTTACTCTCTTCCTTTATTTCCTGGCAACCAATCACTACTGGATTCTAGTGGAGGGGTTGTACCTACATAGTCTCATCTTCATGGCCTTCTTCTCTGACAAGAACTACTTATGGGCCCTCATCATCATTGGGTGGGGTAAGTGGTATTGGTCCAGATACTCTGTTGTCACAAAACAAATATTAACAGGCTGTCAACTTGCAATTTCTTTTTATTCCTACTCATCTCAGGTGTTCCAGTTGTGTTTGTGTCCATTTGGGTCAGTGCACGAGCATCATTGGCAGACACACAGTGAGTCGTGGGATACACTGGTCTGTCCAGTATTTATCTGTACCACAAGTGTTCATTTAAACTCTTCTATCTGTGCTTCCAGATGCTGGGACATCAGTGCTGGAAACCTGAAGTGGATCTATCAAGTTCCCATTCTGGCAGCCATTGTTGTAATTAAACACTATTACTATACTACATTTTAATACTATTAAAGGATATTTGACACTTGGGCTGACTGTACACTGGGCTTCTGGCAGGTGAATTTCCTCCTGTTTGTCAACATAATACGAGTACTGGCATCTAAACTGTGGGAAACAAACACTGGCAAACTGGACCCTCGACATCAGTACCAGTGACTCTTCATTTCACTTACAGAATAATAAGCTTCTAATTTGCTCTAAAGTCAAATTTACCTGGAGTTTTTACAAACATTAAATCACTACATGAATGTTTATGCTCTTTATCTGCAGGAAGCTGCTCAAGTCCACATTGGTCCTCATGCCCTTGTTTGGAGTTCACTACATGGTGTTCATGGCTCTTCCTTACACTGAGGTCACCGGGCTGCTGTGGCAGGTGCAGATGCATTATGAGATGTTCTTCAACTCTTCCCAGGTCAGAATACAAAGCACTGACTCAGCAAAGAATAATGTCATGTAAGATTATTATGAACTATTCTGTTTCCTTTTATTTACTTGGAAGAATGATTTCCCATATTTGAAACATGCAGCATAGACATGTCATTGGAATCAAACTTCTCATCTAGCTCTTGACAAGAAAGCAAATGAAGAGACTATAGTTTTTTTAGCATTTAGATGTGGTGTGCCTTTTTTCAACAAAATCTCCATTTTCTATTTCCAGGGCTTTTTTGTGGCATTTATCTACTGTTTCTGCAACGGGGAGGTAATAAAAGCTACTGTGTAACTGAGTTTTGAAGCGTTAACTCAGATTCATTCAGTTTTTGTGGTCTAATAACAAAGACAAGGATAACTTTCTGGTTTTCTCCCTATTCCTGTTTTCAGGTGCAGGCAGAGTTAAAAAAGTTGTGGCTGAGACGTAGCCTTGCTCTGGACCTCAAACAGAAAACCAAAATGACCAGCAGTGGTGGCGGAGGCAGTTGTTACTATGGCGGTATGATGTCACACACCACCAACAGTATCAGCCTGTCTGTGACCAATCCCAGAGCTCTTTCCTTCACTGGAGGTGTGGTGGGCTCAGGTGGAGCTGCTGGCAGTGGGTCAGGGGTCAAACCGCCACACCACAACTCGCTTCAATCCCAAACCAGTCTGCCTGGTTACGTGCCCAGTAACACTGGTCAACCACAGGAGCTGGCTTTGCGGAGGTCAAGGGGGTCAGAGTCCAGAGTTTTTGCCAGGCATGCCAGAGCTAGCAATGGAAACCTTGACTCCAAAAGTCATGGAGCATCATCAGCCCAAATACCTGGAGAAGAAGATCCAGACGGCTCCTTGTCTCTGAAAGAGATGGAAACCATTATGTGATTGTTTTGATAAATCTAAAGATGAACATAAATAAAATGCTGGACCCATGCAGACCAAGACAGGTGACAAAAAACATGCTTCAGCTGACCCCATAGGTTCTCTCTGTAAGTGATGAGCTGCATTTGCAAACACAAAGATGTGATGGAGTTACTTATGCTGATTTTTGACTTCTTCCAAGATTAACAATAAACTTTCAAACTCAATGCACATTTTTAAAAACCCCTAAAGTGCTCAGAGAATTGGATATTTGCTTATCCACAGTTCACTGACAGCTGCTGAAACTGTGGGATATGATCAAAAGCTCCAGAACAGCTACTGAGCAGACCCTGTGGTGAGACTGTTTTATCCAGAACAATAAAAGGTTCATTCCATCTTTTGGTGGTTCTGATAACATTTTTGACACATAAACAATGAGGGAATATAAACACATTCTCACAACACAACATATGGAATATAATAGCTAATGTTGTATAGCATAATCCCTATTCTCTCAAGTTATAAAACTGATTTTTTGATTGATTTCTTTTGGATCTATTTAATTCCTGTCAGTATACATGAATGGTGCATGAATTTATGCTTTCAATTAATCTGAAAGAAATGTAAATAGGTGTGATGCAGCTGAGATGTTTAAACAATGAGATCTTTTTTTGTTTCATATTTGCTTCACATTTTTTTCTGTGTTGGATTTTCCAAATCGGCCCAGCTTCAAAGTGCACTGCGGGCACTCTGTGTGAGAACCTACTGTCTCTGAATCTGCTGTAGCAAGCCTCGATTTTTTTCCAAATGACCTCCATACAGTACATCAGCCATATGTTTATGATGGAGGAAACATATTCCCGTTACACAGCAAATAATGCTTATTTGATTATTTCTAACCATCAGTAGTGTCTAGATAGTACATCTAGGCAGGTATGGATACTCTCTCTGCACCTTTTTTGTTATATAACTTTTTTTGCCCCTCACAGGTCAAATCCCAGCTGCTTTCTTCAAGTAACCTCTGCCCTGAATGTCCTCACAACACCGTCAAGAATTTCACACATACTCTCCTCAGGCCTCAGCTCAGAGCTGGAGGCTCCTGAACTGTTTGTAGATATCGACATGAGGCAAACCTTCACCACCAGTCACCAGTGTTTGCAAAATAAACAGACAAGAAACTGTACCTGTAAATATTTTTTCCAGAACCAGAGATTACTGTGTTGTGTTTGTAGTTTATATGATCATTTAAACTGTTTTGGAAGTGTGTCAAGAGTGTTTAATGCCTTTGACCCTAACTAAACATACTTCTCTGTTTTATATGTAAAAAGCTTTGTTTGTTGTTTCTGGGCAAAATGACCCACATTTGCATGGCACCAGACCACATAGAATACATCAATTTTGCTATTTAAGAGAATGTTTCTCCTCATCCTCCATAAAATTCAAAACTAAATTCCCATCCCGCCAACATGCACTGGACATTTAGGAAATTAGTAGTTATTTTCATATTTAGCAAACAAACTGATTATAATAAACATGTTACTGACATTACTGGAAGTACAAAGGTTTAAACAGTTCCAGGTAGTTGCTGTAATATATCATAAGCCGAGCACATTTTTAGAGCAATGTGATGTTGGTAAACTGGGGAAGTAGGCGACCTTGAATGACACTGACATTCGACTTTCCCATTAATATGAATTGTTTATATGGGCATTTGAAACACTTGGGCATTTAGCACCAACTGAGTTGCATCATAGGAAATGTAGAATCAGGCGTTTCTGGAGCTTGACCTATTATTAAAAGTCAGGGTGTACTTGATTTTCACCATTAAAAAAAATCAGTTGCTGGTATCCTAACTTAATAAAGGTGCAATTCTACATGACTGGACTATCTCTTTAAAAATTTTTTATAAAAGATACCAAATCTTTGCCCCATGTAGCAAAAATGAAAACACTGCAAATGAGAATGTCTTCACTGGTAGTTGCTTCAATTTGATTAAACTGAAACTGAACCAGTTATCAAGGAATAGTGTGTTTCAGACCATCAAGGCCCTATAAATACAAAGAGGAAAAATTAAATAGTATGAAAATAACACATGACCCTTTAAAGACTTTTAACATGCAGCTATTACAATTAGCATAACGCTCATTACTGTGATACTGAAGAAAATGAAATCATTTAGTTGATAGTGATTGTGTTATGCACATACAAATGTCCAGCCAACATGGACATACAGTACCTTCTTACATATACAGTATAGCACATAACAAACAAGGACACTGTCTCTTTCATCAAAGTCTGCAAATAAAACCTGCCACACTTAAGGCTGCCTTCCTAAAATCAAAATTAAAAAAAAAAAAAAATCACATAAAAGCTTAAAAGGAAACCAACTCAGGAGAAAGTGTGCCCACCACATGTTACACTTCTTTAACTCTGGATCTCATTTTAGAATACAGACTATTAGAGGGACATTTCGCCATTCTGCTGTTGACACATATGGAGGGTAAGGCATAAGGAGCACCAGGCACAGAAATGCATGAGTGATTGCTCCAACACTGGGACAACCCCCACCCAAAAACATATGACGGCAACCAGCACTTCATTAGAGAGAAACGATTGGTGCCCAGAGTGTCTCCTTGAGCTTTTTGATGGAACTTTACAGTTGATGCAGTTCATCTGGTTCAGACTCCAGATCCATGACAATCTCTTCTGCCAGCAGACAGAGGAAAAATAGGAGAAGCAGGAGGGTGAAGTGGAGGCTGATCGGAAATTGCAGGAGGAGGAAATGATCTAGCATGATGACTGTGGCGGTGGTGGTGATGATATCATCCTCACTGTACTGTACTTTCAGAAGCTGTTATTGAAGAAGAAATTCAACTATACTTAAAACAATGCTTGCAAATACAATGAGGTCTTTTTACAGAAGAGAGATGTGTTGAAATATATTGAAAACACAAAAACAAAATTCTGAAATATATATATATACAAGGACATAACATGTATTTGCAATGAAACCCAATTACTTACTTAATATGGAGTGAAGTCACACAAAACATTCCATCTTTACATTTTGGTATCATTTTATTAAAACATTCTTGAGTTTTTGTGAGTTATTTTATATACATTTCCCCAAGTTTCAGTCAGGTTCATGCTTATTTGGTACAGTACCTTTTTAAATATAATATATATATAAAGATGGTAAATTTGGAGGTCAGTATTTTGTTTGAATAGTAATTTTATGTCTTTATAGGCCCAGTGTAAGTAATATTACACCCATGCCCCTGACATGATCCGTCATCGTGATGTCACAGATGAGGCGGGGACAGAGACAGAGAGAGAGACGGGAAGAGAAAGAGGGAGAGAGAGAGAGACAGAGAGAGCAGGAGGACCGGTGGCCGACAGGGAGGGGTCCTTTGATATCAGGGCGTCCTCCTCCTGGATGGAGCCCGGCTGTGTGCAGGCAGCCATGGCCATGGGAGATGTCTCGAAAAAAGTGTCGGCTCGGAACTTGGCGGTGGAGCGAAAAAACCTCATCACTGTCTGCAGGTCAGTTTTTATTTTCCAGGACAGGCTGATGTATAGATGGAGACTGTGCGGTAGGCTCAATGTTGCATGTATTTCAAGTGGTCATGTGGCTACATTTTGACTTTTACAGCAACAAATTGATCGTGGTGTTTTTATTCTTATCGCAGACAATAAATGTACATGGGACATTTTGACACGCATGCCTACGTCATCCTGATATTAAGTCCTCTTTATGAACTCTGTTCCGACGGTGGGCCTGTCGGGACAGGGGACGATGTCTGTTCTCTAGGTTATGTGCTACTAAACAGACTACTACAAATACAAACGCAGTATAATATGTGACAGTCGACAGACTCTCTGTGTGAGTTTACTGGTGTCATCGTTGTAATTTATTTTCTCATCTCTGATGGCGTGGTTGCTATGACGACAACCTTCCTATGTGCAGTTCTAGCTGGCACCCTGGGGACCCGGGGCAAGGAGGCAGCATAAGGCCTGAGCATCAAGATCCATTTGGACCTTGTGAGACTGTTCTAGAGGCTTGCACTGAAACGCCTTTGCCATGACTTAAACACACATACACAGACAAATTGGCAACTGTACATGCATGAAACACACACAGCTGTGCAAGCACATATGCACTATGACCATATCTATGAAGGGATTCAGCAGATGTGTATTTACAGGGCCAGTGATGCTGCTCTTTAGCTATTTCTGAATATAAACACCCACAGTTACAGCTGCTATCAGCAAAATTTAAAGCTACTATGTTCAGCATTTTATAACAGCAAGAGATAAAAATATGTGCTATATGAAAGGAGTCACTCATTGTGATGAACCTACAGAGAATTATTACTTAGCTCTGCAGTTTCCCTCAGCACTACTGAGCATTTTGTTGTCTTTCAGGTCATTCTTTTGGTTTTTCAGTCCTCAGCTTTACTGCTCTGGTTTACTCTCACCACACCTGCAATGTGCTGTCGCAGGCAAAGTTCTGTCAACTGACTGTAGCACCAAAATTAGCATCTAAGATGTTGTTCAGGTTTCTTCCACTGACCTTTAGTTTAAGTGCAGTGATTTTCTTTAAGTTTCTAAACCATTCCTCTCTGTTTCTTCTGCTCCTCTCTTCTTATAGATGTACACTAGACACCCTAAAAATGAGTGATGTTCAGATCGATCCTGAAATATCAGTACTTCCAATCCCAACATTCCCTGTTCCAGGATCGATTCCCATGTTAAAAGATTGATATCTAAAAGAAGCAGGCTAATGTTTTATCTTCAACAGGGGACACAGGAGACAGTAACTACAGTAAGAAAAACCTTCAGTTGGGAGCCTCTTGCAGTGTCATATGGGGTTGCTGGGTGCACTGAAGTAAACAACCAAGATGGCATATAAAGGGTCCCTGTAGCTATGTATGTAGTATGGACTTAATCCGAACTCCAGCATTTCAGTATCTGGGCTGCAGAAATGCCCCTTCACATCATGTGAGCAGGGTGGCACCATTTGTTGTTAATAGAAGCAGCAAGCCCTTATGCACCTTTTAGCCTGTCTCCTCTCCTTCATCAGTCTGTTGTTTGGACCCATCAGTTTTGTTGCTAGGGTTGCCAGCCCTTGTGGACTGGCTGAGAGACTCCCAGAATTGATTTAGACCTCCCTTGCTGGACTTGGTAAAGTCTGTCTTTGTTGCTCTATCATGCTCTGAGTGCGCCCCCCCCACCCCAGCTCTATTTTCACACAAAGTATCGGTATTGGTATTGGCAATACCAGCCTGGATTTTACTTGGTATTGGATTGGACAGGAAATAAGTGGTATCACACATCACTACTAAAAATAGAAGTTTAGTACATTTGAACCCTGTCCTCTTTTGCCCTAGTTTAAATAATTGATGTTAAAGTCAAAATCATGTTTAAAGTTTGTCTAAAGTCATCAAACACCCTGAGTTTATGTCCTTGGTTTAAGTCAGGTAAGTCACTAAGTATGTCACTGTCATAGTGTTTGCAGATTTGAAAGGGAGTATTGAGTACTGTTAAACACATGCAACACATGTATGTTCGGACAGCTGGGCAGGAAGACAAGACTATGCCTCTGCTGAGCCACTGTCAGGTGAATCTGGGTCAGGTCATGGCCCTGTTCTCTGTAATACACTGACTGCACAGGGGATGGTGCTTGTTTTGATGTGGAGGGTAGTCAGCCAGTTATTGTCCAGTATCTGGCCACAGCCAAAGCAGCTCAATGACACATTGTTGTCTTTGGAACAATGGAGAGTGAAATCACTTGCCTCAGTGCCTTGTCTTAAGATCAGCATTGTCTTACCATGAGAGTGTGTACTGTACATGTAGACTTAGATTTTTTTTTTTTTTTTTTTACTAAAAACTGTTTACATTTGGCCACTGACATTTAAAATTAAACTGTAATAATAGCTGAAACAACTTCTGTCCACCTAATATTGAGTACATTTCCTGTGGTCCTTGCAGGGCCCTGTGTACTAGAAGTCACCACACGGCATATTTCTTTGTCACTGGACAAATAACATTTGACAAGATGAATTACTTAGTGTCCACACAAATATTTAGGAACAATCATTTCAGGAGAAGATGAATGATGGCTGAAATAAGCTTTAGAATTTTAGTTGTCACAGCATATGGGTGTATAAGGCCTGTGGGTGTATATGTTATGGAAAGTAATCACCCCACCTGACAATACACCAGTTATTGTACACTAGAGAATCCATATTAGGTATTTTTAAATATTTAGCCATGCTAGCCATCAGTCCCTCCCTTTGGTTCAGACTGACTAGGAACGTTCACTGTGCCCAGAGGATGATGCTTTGATGACCTTTCCTAGTGTACTTGGTAGGATACAGGAAGGCTCCTTTATAACTGTAAATATATTACATCAGATAGGAGTCAGCTCTTCAGTAAAAAGTCTACTGAACTTCCTGAAAGCTCTCCCTGAAAATCTTCCTCACAGTAAATGGGTAACATCAGTAGTACAGTGTGAGTGTTCACAGAAACAATCACATGGGCTAGATGGTAACAAAAACATACATGCACATATTGACATACATGCAGCTTTTGGGTTCTGATTCATTTGCTTTTGATTTCATGCACTGTACAGATTTTTTTTTCACAGACTTTCTTTCTCTAAGTACATCATGTTGGCTGAGCAGTACACAGTTAGATCCTTACATGGAGCTTTGTGAATTCTCTTTTATCAAAAGTTTAATTATAGTTTGGTCTATGATGTGTTCCTCCTACAGTAAACTAAAACAAAGAACGCAGTAATCCAATAATCTGTTCCCTGACTAATTTATTCCCATGATGGCTTTATTACAACCAAACTCATTAAAACCTCTCTTTCTGTTTCTCTCTCTCTCTACCACACATAGGTTTTCAGTAAAGACACTCTTAGAGAAGTACACAGCCGAGCCCATCGATGACTCATCTGAGGAGTTTATCAATTTTGCAGCCATCCTTGAACACATCCTCAGCCATCGTTTTAAAGGTAATGAAACTATGAGAAAATTTGTCAGGGACGGACTGCATGTTAAATACATTTAATAGCATGATCATTTTCAAAGACCTCAAATACAAAGAGACATCATAAAACTGTGTTGTTTAATGGAAGCTTCCATTTTGGACTTCCTCCATTAGCAGCAGCTGTTTCTGTTTTGTTTCTGTAAAGTCATCCATGTTGTGACTACACCAGCTGGCCCAAGGCTCCACTGTTCCCTCACACAAATACACTTTATGTCAGAATAATACTGTTCATAATGCATTATGTTACATCCTCGTTTTAGGGTCTGGCAGCTGGTTTGACGGTCAGAGGAGTTATTGGGACTACATCCGGCTGGCCTGTGCTAAAGTCCCTAACAGCTGCATTAGCAGTATCGAGAGTATGGAAAATATCAACACGTCACGAGCAAAGGCAAGTCCTACATAATAATGATGATGATAATAGTATAAATGGTGACATTAATGAAACAAAGCAGCACAGCAAACAAATACTCAGCTAATAAAAGGCAAAACTGTCTAAATAAAGGAAGAGTATCAGTGTAGATAGCCTATCATTGATGCTCAAAGGTCTGTAGAGACAGACAACAGACAACTGTCCAGCTCCTCAGCAAATGAACTACAGTGTTACCAAAATGGTAGTGGTTGTAAAGTAGTACAGTACATGCTGTAAATATACAGCTGAAGACTTGGTTCAATAGATGAGTGATTTTCCCTGCTCAGACAGTTTCATTTGAATGTTTGGAGGCATGAGGAGGAAAATGTTTATCATATTTAACAAGAAAGAGGCAAATGTTAGAGAAGGTTTCAAACAATAAAGAGAATTTTGTACAGCAGTATTTTATTACTTATAATTAACTATCCCAGTATTATCTTGTGACCCATTCAATTATTCTCAGGACTCCTTGACCAACTCTAGATTCTACTGCAATGGCCATTTTCAGAGTTACAGCAATTTTGTCATACATATATTATTTCTCAAATGGTGCACTATGTTACCATGTCACATCGAAAGGACATACACGTGATGGTAAAGAAAATGTATAACTTTGTAATTATTTAATTAATAATGGGAAAATGGTCGATGTTAGTACTCTGCATGCCGGGATGTTTTTCTACTGATGCAGCATAATCTCTTAACCTTTGGTGACCTTTTCAGGGTCAAGCCTGGATGAGAGTAGCCCTGATGGAGAAGAGGCTGTCTGAATACATTGCTACTGCTTTGAGAGACAGCAGAACAACTAGGTTAGAGCCCCCAGAAGCCTAAATGCACAGTAGTATCACTCTATCTCTGCTATACCAAAATCATGTTCCCACCTGCTTGTACCTGTCTCTGTGTTTTAGGAGGTTTTATGCAGAGGGAGCTATCATGTTAAGAGAAGAAGCCACAGTGCTAACAGGGATGCTCATAGGTCTCGGAGCCATAGATTTTAGGTGAGAAGTTATGCACCTTATGCATCAGACTGATCATTTTAGATGGCTACATGTAGTTCTTTTGCTTTATTTCTGTGTGGTTTCTCCTCTACAGTTTCTGTCTAAAAGGGGAGGCCCTGGATGGGAAATCCTCTGCCGTGATTGACTATACACCATACTTGAAATTCACACAAAGGTATCTTCAGTGATACCAGGGAAAATGACTGTAACAGCCAATGTAATCCCTTAGTATGTTAAATATTTTGAGTGACAATACATTTTAAGGACCCAGGGAATGTTTAGAGTTGGTTATACTTGAAAAATAAATTGTCATGTAAATAGCCTATAAATAGCCTATATTCTTCATTCTGCTGTTTGATTTTCAGAAAAATCCTTATCTAAGCAGCAGGTGTTTGCTTACAATAACCAGTCACAGAATTAAGTCTGACAATAATATTTTATTCACTTTACAAATCAAGTCAGTGTTTCTGTTGTAGCTATGATTACCTGAGTGATGATGACGATCGACAGAGCATTGACAGCAGCACAAGTGATGACAGCATTCCTGAACACCCCTACATCCCTCTGGTCACTGATGAGGAGAGCTGGAGCACGAAGTGTCGTAAGATGGAGCAGAGATTCAAGATTGTCAATGCTCAGAAGGTCTGCAGCTGAGCCATTTTTGTTTTTTGTTTTGTTTTCATTGCTGCACTTAACACAATCATTTAACTGATTAGCTGACAATGGTATTGCTTATTTGACAATGATCAATTAACAGTCTTCTAAAATCTACATAAACTTATAACTGATAAGAAGAAGATAACATTTGTAAAGGCATAAAATAATGGAAACAGAATTTAGAGCATCTTTATTTTCTGATGTATTTTTGAGTGAAATGCCATATGTAGGTGGGTTTGAATTGTCCTAATGAAGATTTAAATTAGTTCCTTAGATTTGACTGGATCAAGTATGTAAAATTATTTATAAGTATTAATTGTTAAATGTGTTGTTTATTAATAATACTCGGCTAATCTGCTTCATTAGGACTGTGTGGGTGTGGTTCAGATGGTGCCAATTTATGATCGGTGCTGTGAAGTATGAGACATCACATTTTTCCAGTTGACAAAAATGGTTTTAAAAAAGGTTAAGATACCGACAATTGCTAACAGGTGTTATCAAACATGTTTAGTTACTCTTATATGCTAAACAGGACATCCTACATTTCCTAATACATAAGAATCCTTTCACCCTCAACACCATAAAACAAATTTTGTAATACAGTGAGCATTACAAATGGACGCAAGGTAAAGATATGTTTTTACACTTTGTGGATTTGTGTTGTCAGGGTTACTTGGAGGAGCTAGTACGTCTGCGTGAGTCCCAGCTGAAGAACACAGAGGCTGAGAACAAGAGGCTTAAGGCCCGACTGGAGGAGCTGCAGAGCCAGAGCCAACAGGAAAAGAAGGACCTGGAGGCCATAGTCCTTGAGCTTCAGGAGCAACTGTAAGTGATGCAGACAGATCGTGGCGTCCACTGTCACTTAATTCCTCAGTAGGTTAATAATGCAACACAAAGACAAAAGGGCTTGTGAAGAACCAGTTATAGCAGTTTTCAAAAGCAGAGTATAGTCAAAACATTGACTTGATGAGAACTGCTTCCCTTTTTCTGGAGCTTAATTGTCACTGTGACTGAGTTATGCTAACCCTATAAAGCCTGACAAATAAAAAAATAGCCAGAACATTCAAATTTTTTGGAACTGAGATGTTTATTAAACCTTTTAACAAAATCAAAAAGAAAATTCAAGATTCAAGATTTTTATTTGCCATTTATGCATAAGACAAACAGTCCAGTCATATAAGAATAAATGTGCCATATTATTTTGTTTATTAAAATTTTTTTTGTACCACATTTGATACATGGGGCCTTTCTGGCTAATTTTTTTGCTCAGAAATCCACTTAGCAAATATGATACAAATGGTTTTATAGGGTTAAAGGCTTTGGTGCAAGACTGTTTCAGGATGTTGAAGTTCTGTCTCATATTTGTTTCCTCATGCTTGGAAGAACCAGCTTGATTCCATGTGACTCCAACCCCCTGGCCAAAAACCTTTCAATCCCCCTGGTCAACCAGTGGCCGACGTTCCAGCCATACAACAACCAAGAGGACGTCAAGCTGTTTCGCAGGTTTGATTAACTGTCTGTCTCCTGGTATAATATTTTGTACATATATACATGCACCATACATTACATAAGGTACCTGGACTACCTGGACTGTTATCATACTACTGTACTACTGGTCTGTGGGTTGGATTTCATTGAATTTTTAGGTGACATACTACTTATCAATACATCTTTAAATTAAAGTGATCACAAATAGAAAATGTAAATGTAGCAGGGAACAAATGAATTGTGAGACAGAATATGACAGAGACATTTGTACACTGAATAACAAAAAGTTAAATTCCTTATTAAAAATGTATTCCATTTCCACTTTTAACTATTAATTCATCATTTAAAGATTGAAATTATGGAATAAACTTTTTATTAGTTCTTTGACATTTAAAATGCATCATTATAAGCCACGGCTAACAATAATTTTCACTATCAGCTAATCAGTTAACCATTTTATCCATAAAATAATAGAAAACAGTGAAGTTGCCAACTGTAATTTCCTAGAGCCCAAGATGATGTATTCAAATTTGGTCCAAAAGCCAAAGAAAAACATGGAATCCTGTTATTTGAGAAGCTGTAACCAACAAATGTCTGGCATTTTGCTTGAAAAGTGATTGAGCCTGTTAATTGATTAACAAATAGCTACCTATTAGGTTGTCTAATTGACTAATCAATGGATCTTTTCCCTTCTAATAGCAACTTCATCTGCCTATAATTCTGTGGCATACTCCAGGGTCCTTGCCAACAAACATAAAAAGACTTGCCTAGTACCATTTGCTACCTTCTACTGTTGTTAACCCTTAACTTGTCCTTCTGTTGACCTGTAGGAGGAGTTTCCCCAGCACAGAGCTGCTGTCAGTGGAGGTCAGCCTGGATTCAGACTCCCAGAGGATTGAGGGGAAACAGAATGGAGGGGCCTGGTGCACAGGTAACAATCTAGACAAACACTGACTGTACCACACTGTAAGATGATATAGGAGTAAACACACATCAACACTTCCATTATATATCTGTCACACCCCTCCAGGAAAGGATTACACCCCCTCCATGATGGGCCTGTGTGGTTCCTTGGTGTCCCTCCCGAGCTGCAAGTCATTGGCTAGCCTCAAATCCAGTGAATGTCTGGTCAACATCAGCACAGAGAACAGTCCTGCCCTCTCTCCCAGCTAGGGGGCGCCAAAAAAACACTGCCAACCACTTAGACTCTGAGACAGCACGATGACAAAAGGACTATTTTTGGTAGGTGGACAAATGCTCTCTTTCATGGCCCTTATCTGAGTCCCTTTGCCTTTACGCTCTGAGCCCAGCACTCTCTCAGCTTACAGCTTTGGAGCATTTGTGAAAGAGTAGCTTCCCTGTCTGGGTTTTTTCAACAAAGATGCAGGAATTGCTGCTGTACTGCCCAACAGCCTCCTTAAATTTCACCGTTGTTCATAATCTTGACATAATTAAGCCTCCTGGAATGCAAACACCTGGTTCAAGTTGGACCTCTCTTACTTCATGACATTTGATTTTGTGCAATTACAGTCATATCTGTACTGGTCACATTCATCAAAACTCACTGTAGGGTTGTTCTGTATGTACTTGTCCATTTGTTTGTGTCTTATCACTCTGTCAGTATATCTTTTCTGCCTGTTGCATAGAATTGGCAGGATGGATGAGGTGTTATATCCTGTAGGAATCAGAAACGTTTTCCGGTATTATATTACACTACTATAAGAGGATGGAAAGAGTTATAAACAGAGGCTTTAAATGTGCTGAGTCAACAAAAACAGCTTTATGATATTAAAAAGAATTGCATTTTTGGTCTCATTCAATCATACAGTAGGTTAAGATTTTTAGGATGTGGCATAAAAGACCTGCCAGGCTACCAAGGTTTGCAGAAGCACTACAATGTGAACATTAAAACAGACATAATCTACTGCATGCAAATGCAAAGTAAACTGTGACTATGCAGATCGAATGTTTTCATTGTTTTTTTCTACAAACCTGGCTTGATAGAGTAGTTTGAGGAAGAGGGAAATAATGAATAATGCACCATGCATACTGGTATGTGTTCCATTAATTTTTTGTTTTTATTTTACCCACTGTGATCTTTTCTTTGTATATTATAATTCATTTCATGACATACTGACTTGTGTCATTTACCATCATGTACATTGCAATCTCATGCAGTGTCGTTGAGAGCTGGGATATGTTGTGTTATTTAAAACTGCAATAAAACTGCCTTTTTTTGAAATATTAAATGCCCATACACACTGGATGTATATTTTTTAGCCATGTGGTGTAACTCTAAGAATGTCAGTCTGTTGTTCAGCCAGTCTACACTTTGGTCCAAACAGGATGAACAGTAATAACTTTTGTGATCCCTTAAGTTTTCGTCATTAGCTCCACTTTGTGTTTAGTGCTAATTACCTGATGTTAACATGATAATCATTATATCAACTAAACATCAGGATGTTAGCATGATGGTGTTAGCATATAGCTATAAGCACTGCTGTGTAGTGTCAGTTGCTAACATGGCTGTAGACTGCCTCCAAAGTTACATTTAACATTCATGTGTGTCAATTTAATGCCAACCTGACTTAAAATATTAGACACACAAAAAACCTTTTTAAAATGTGCTCTTAATGAATAACTGATATCAGGTGTGAGAAACCCAACATGTGCTCTTTCCTCGCCCATTCCTTGGTCACTTTTTATCTTCATGTCTTCCCTGTGTAGCCTAATTTTGTAAAGTGTGGTGTCATCTTTCTTCAGATGGGTTTGAAATAGCCTATGTGAGGTCATAGGTTAGAATCATTCATTCATTAACACAGACAAATTCATTGACTAAACAAACAGCAGCTGAAGGTCCTTTGGTAAACGCTAGAAATGCATTATGTGGGAGACACATTCCAGACTGATGCCTAATTAACTGCTTAGCTGTAAATGAATGGACGCTGAAGGGCTGTGAAAAGTTGGGTTTAGTTTGTCTTTGGTGGTTTTGTGAAAGTAACATAAGCTGGAGGTAGATGAGCAGATGGCCTGACCCAAAACTCAACACTTCACCCTTTTGTGATAAAGCACAAAAGCATAAGCATGATATCTATGTATGAGCTGAGGTCCCATACACTAAGTACACAGTTATAACCTGTTTTGTTTGGCTGAGCGGACCCAGGGTGTCTTAGCACTGATCTAGGATATGCATATGAATTGTATGTCATGTTATCTTTGCACCCTTCTCCTGTCCCACCACTGGCACTCCCTTTTACACAGAGTTAGGACATTTATCTCCCACAATGCACACTGTCTCACACATGCACACACACCACCCAAAAACACTTCACAGTCCATCCACCCAGATGGTGCACACACTCCCAGCTGAGGTGATTTCATAGGTCTCAGGATAGTATGATGAAAATGGATAGAAACCAGTGCCTATTGAAAAAAATTTAGAAATAGTATAGCATGCATTTAAAATGTTGAAACTGTAAAGGTTATATGATTTGCAGCTATGAACATTTGCTGAAATGTTGAAGGCCTACTTAAGTACACTTTTGAGGTACTCCATGTTGCAATTTCTTTTACAGCTACCCCATAAGAAAATATTGCATTTTTTTACACCACTACATGTATTTGACAGCTTTAGTTACTTTTTGATTCTGATCATTAGGCCAATTCAAAATATAATCAATCAACTAATAAGCCCAACCTTATCAGCTGCAACATAATGCTTAGGCTACACATTATTATGTTATATAATTATGGTATGTTAAGTAATATGAACATCTTTTTCTTTTGGTAAGAACGTTTCAAAGGCAATACCACTTCTACACTGCACTAGTACTTTTTACTTCAGTAGAAGTTCTTCTCCAACCATTAAAGATGAGTTGGTATGGCCCTTTAAAAGCATATGCTATCAGAGCTCACTAAAATGCAGTTGCCTCAGCCACTGACAAAGTAGCCAAGTCCATGTATTTTGAGTGTCACGGTTACTAGTAACAAAGGTCACATTTTAGCCTTAAATGGTTAAATTGTGTAATTTCGACACGAATCTGTTGATATGGTATTTGAATTGAAGGCGGTGACAATAAATTTTATTGCACGAGGTTTGACGGATTGACAGTAGATTGTCCAATAGAACTAAAGTTGGAGATTCAACAAACCAATAAAAAGTGAGATCCATAGTCGGGCCCGCCTCCCTAAATAATTAAATCCACACCACTGTGGTAGTGGTGGTTGCAAGTGTTTGGACGGAGTTTGCGTTATTCCAGCTACGCGGAGGGCAAAAAAAAAGAAAAGGAACAACACTGACCACCACGCTACTTTCTGGGCCACCAAAACAGCCCCCACCCTGAAACATTACAATGAAATAGACTACAGAGTTTGCTTAGAAAACGTAGGAGTTGGCGTTAAATTGACTTTTTGAGACTGGAGCTGCTTCCTTGTTCGACAACGGGGTAAAATATCTCATCATCCTCACAAAGAAACTTTACTTGCTAGGCTGCTAACTCGCACACAAGCCACCAGAAAGCATGATCACCGCCGAAGACGTGATCACAAGCTGTTAGTAACGTCTCAAATGTCGAGCTAAGTGTGTTGGTAACTGAATTTTCTTACAAATGGTATCTGTATGAGTCAAGACAGAGTTTTGTAACGGTTTTGAGTAGTCATCATCACTAGAGGAGGAAGAGTAGCAGCAGCTGGCAATTTGACCACAGAGCGCCCCTAAATCTTTAGTAAGCAGGACCCCCAGTGCGAATTTCTTAGTTTGGAGCCAAGTTGTTTCAGATTTGGTGCTGGGAAGATGTCTGGCCGAAGTGGAGTTGGACAGACGAAAGGAGCTGCTTCGGGTCCAAAGCCCCTCAGAGCTACTATCCCTTATCAGCTGGCTAGCAAGCCTCGACCGAACCGGAGAGATGGGAAATCAGGTATGAACTTGTCTCATTATATGGATCATTAGTTCTACCCATTTGTAAATGGGTTCTATATAATGTGACCCCATGTTAGAAACCGTAAGACTTGGCTAATGTGGACTGTTAAATACACACAAATGGTTTCACACAGACTAAATCCATCACTAAGTTTGTTAAAGTACCTGTCAAAGTACTTCTCATGCAAACTTGAATGATCTAGTCAAGCCTCACTGAAATGTCTGTAGCAGCATTCAGTAATAAAACGATGCCAACAAGGTAGTCACTGCAGAATCACTGTCTGTGATGTCCAACAATTTTTTTTTTTTTAAATGACACCCAGTCAACAACAATTCATTCATTGTTAAGGGGTATAATGTATTATATTTTATGTAAATTTGCTGTGGCAATATTATAAAATAGTGTATTTGTTTATCATAATGTCACTAGACATTATGTCCAAAACATATGGTCTATAGTAGTAATTACTGTGGAGATATGATCAAAGCTGCAACAAAGTCACATTTATATTGATTAATCTGGCAGATACCCTGTTGTTGATGGTGATATAAAGTATCTTAAAGTTCCTTCTGATACTGACAGCTGCAAAGTCCAAACCACACCAGCTGAGCTCTGGCATGAGGCGAACCATGTCTCTTGATGCCATCATCGGGCCATACCTGCAAGGACACTGGCCGAAAGAACATGAGGGCCAGAGCAGCCTGTCTCGCAAGGACAAATCTACTCAGGTTAGCTCCAGTTGAAAATTTACACAAGTGTGAACATAATAATGCTTTGGAAACAAATCTGTCACAACGCAACCAATGGAACATATTACTTTAGTACTGTTTTTTTCTTCCCCATAATTAGTTATTCACACATTAAATCACTGAGTTGTTTGTTCAGTGGTGTTTTTGGGTGGCAGACGTCACTGAGTCAAGATGAGTTTGCAAGTCTTGCAGAGAAAGGAGTTGATAGCGGACTGAGGGAGGGAGCAAGTGTCCGGTGCTTGCACAGCTATTACAGAGTGTGAACCACAGCCATGAGAACAGTTCCTGAAGTCAGCTGACGAGGCCGTTTTGGCTGCACCCATCCTCTGTGCTCTATGTGCAGGCACTCGCCACTGCTTTTGGTTGCCCACATCCTCCCCCTCTCTTTGTTTTTCAGTTTCTCCTGCTCATTCGCTCTTCTACAAGTGTGAATAGAGAGTCTTTGGGTGCGGATGCTGTAATGTAGCTGCAGATCAGTCTTTGAGCATGAAAAGTGGATCTGTGCTGAGTGTGAAACTATTGGTAAAATGTGTTTTAAGTCTTTAAGTAATATGTGATTTCAACATATTTTCCACTCAGATTTTAGAAAGGTCTTGATGAGGCCTCAGGGCAAAGGTTTAATATTTACACTTACTCACTTGCTATTATATTTTCAGGGTATTGGTTCTTATGGCAGCTGACCACACTGTGATTTCTTTCTCTCCAGACCCCAAATTCGTGGTCAGATAAATCACAGAGCAGGAGAGGAAGCAGCAGTCACAAACGTTCAGCCTCATGGGGCAGCGCTGAGCATCTGCGAGAGGTCAGTCTCTCTCTTTTATTGCTCAACATACTGTATGTGTTTGAAACAACTGTGTTTGCAAAACCTGGTGTTTTTTGTTGTTTTGTGTTGTGTGTCTTGAAAAGGTCCTGACTCAATTAATTTGACAACACTAAAGCCCCTTTTCCACCGCCTGGTACCAGCTCAACTCGTTTCTACTCAACTCACCTTATCAGTCAGATGTTGGGGATAGTACCTAGTACTGTTTTTGGTATCACCTCCACTGAGGTTCTAAGCGAGCAGAGGAAACGCCAAACAGTGACGTGTAAACACTGCAGAGTAGCGATTGGTCAGAGAAATCGCATCATCAATGTACAAGACATCCTGGAACAAGGAAAGCACCATTTTTAAATGCAACATTATTTAACACTAACCACTACTTTACCATAGTTACTGTACTAACTAAAACAGCCACATAACGAGAATCAAAAGCAGCATACCCTCTATGTCTTCCATTGCTACTGTCATTTACTGACGACGCCACAGCAGTGTAGTGCAGTGTCGCTATGATAACCAGCTACACGGAAAGGGGACCGTCTGCAGTGGAAAACCAAGCACCCGGTACCAAAAGTGAGTCAAGTTGAGCTGGTACCAGGTGATGGAAAAGGAGCTTAAGCAACAGGATCAATGATCTCATCTTTGAAGTAACTTCCCTTTTTACATTTTACACAAGCACTTCATCATGTTTTATCCAGACACTGCATAATTTGATTATTGTTGCAAAAATTTACAGCACACTTTTGAAGGGACCTTGCTGTGAAGTGTGTGATATGATAGGCTAAAGTATTTCCTCTGTGTGTGTGTGTGTGTGTGTGTGTGTGTGTGTGTGTGTGTGTGTGTGTAAGCTTGTTGACTAACAATAACCTCTGTTCATTGCAGATTGCTAAACTAAAACAACAGCTGCAGCAGCGCAGCAAACCTGCAGTCTCAGGGGGGCACGATAAAGACCGCCAGTGTGGCTATCCTCAAGGGAGCTGTAGCCTAGGAACTACTCAGGTGCTTACTGTCATCAGTACACATAAACATACCTCACAGCTTACTTCATCCATGCATGTGTGTGCACATTTTATAAGCTAAGCTGAAAAAAAAGCATAGAATTTTTTTTTTTTTTTTTTTTTTTTGTCAATACAACCATCTTCAATCACTGCTTTGACATTCAGCAAACAGTGCAGCTCTATGCAGGAAGTGAATGAAATAAAACACTGAAGCAACAGGAAGACGACTGCATCACACTCCTTCTGCTTCTCAGAGAGAAATGTGTAGTTCTGCTTTTAAGCACAGCTGGTATGCACAGTCTTTTTGAATGGTGCCACCCTTCACTGGACTGAAGCAGTTTACCAAATGTGATCAACTGATAAGAACATTTACAAATGTGACTTGGACCAAAAGGTGTTCAAAAGATTTTAACAAGGACTTGCACACTTGCCAGTCTTGATTATAATAATTGTGGAACTTCTGCAATATCTGAAGCACATGTTGCTTTAATACTTGACTCATGAAGAATGTGCTTTGGAAAATGCGTGATTTATTTTAGTAATAATAAAAAAAAAAGCCACTCAGCACTTCTCATATAAAGAATGCAGATTGCAGTGTTTCACAGTGAGAGGAAACGAGAAAACTGAGTGGGTGATCTGTTTGTTTCTTCTCAAGAGTAAAGCCGTCTGAATTCCATTTAACCTGTTTGTTTGTCCTCAGACTCAGCCAATTCCCATCCCTCTTCCTCCCTTGTCTACACTGGTCCCTCGACTGCGCTGCAGCGTGGAGGGTCTCAACCAGGAGCTGGAAGGCATGTTTGTCTGCCAGCCGCCGCATCCTCAGCACAGGGTAACTGTTACACACTCACCACACAACATACACATGTGAAAGGGCTTACAGGAATTTTTTTTTTTTTTTACAAAAAAGGCAAATATCATTTTCTGCCATAGTAACAAATAACATTATAGTGGCTGATATTCTTTACACAATGTAAACAGTGTTTCCTGTCTGGTCAGCTCCTTGATGTTCCAGACGGTCACCGGGCTCCACTTCCCCTGCAGAGCTGCAGCAGTGGATCTCAGAGTGACCCCACCACCACACCCCTGTGCTCACCTTCCAGCTGCTCCTCGCCTTGCTTCTCTCCCAACTACATCTCCCCCTGTTCACCCAAATCTGAAGACACTCCTCTGGACTTGCATCAAGGTTAGTTTGTCAGTATAGTGTATAAAACTAATCATACCCATAAATAACCAGAATAAGGCATCGGCATTTAATCACAAGTCTAACTGAACAGGATAGCATTTTCTTTATTTTGTGAACTTGTTGCTTAGTAAGTGAAAAATCTGAAAATAATTTTGTGTACTTAATATGCATACCACCTCCTCTACCATTTAAATATCGACAGTAGTAGATGTTTGTCAAAGGTTTTATTTTAAAAGTGCAGTTTTGTCATTTTG